AACAAAAACCTTATTTACTATACTTTTTGTGTACCCCCAATCTCAATGATCTGTATCCGCCTATGATTTTTGAAAATGCATATTTTTAGGATCCATGTGAATTCCTGGTTCATTCTCTATCGATCGGCAAAAGTTGCGTTAAGATTGGTTCAGAAACCTGGCCGTGATAAACAGTCTAAAATGTATCTGCAATTTGCCCGTTTTTACCCCCCTCTACCCCCCTATTGACATTTTTTAATTTTTTTTTTAATGTAGATCTCGTTGAGCCAAATCGAATGCCGTTTGAATTTTGAAAATCGGCCGGTTAGATCTCGAGATATCAAGGGGGGGTCGTAAACAGCCCCCCCCCCCCTGCCACTAATATGGGGTAGCCAGGAGCCTGCCACTAATAGGGTTAAATTATTGAGGCCCTGGTGTTCCCACACATAATGTATTGCGCGACAGTGTGGGCAGCATGCAACGCTACACAGCGAAAACGCGTTCAAAAAATAATTAATCATGGTGCACGAATAGTTAAATGCTGCCGACGTCATCAGCATATCACGCCTCACCTTACTGAGCTTGAGTGGCCGAGAGTAGAGCGACTCATCACAGAACGTGACCTCGCCATGGTGCACCGCCTCCTCAACTCTGTCCATGCACCATCGCACTTGCGAGACCTGCTGCAGCGTCGCGATTGTGTAACCGAGAGGGAAACGCGAGGATCAATGGCGTGAATGCTGCAACTTCCGCGGGTCCGCACGGAGCTCGCCAGACGTTCTTTCGGGTTTCGGGCAGCAGCGAGCTGGAACGAGACGCCAAACGAGGTTCGCCACGCCAGCACGGTCGTAGCGTTCCGCGCGGGGATGCGGAAATGTCGTGCTGGTCTTACCCAGATAGAATAGATCTCATCCGCCGCTTATTTTAAAATACGCTTGTAGGTAACTTGGATTTTAATAGCATCTCTTAGATAAATGAGTATAAATGGCTTATTCTTATTATTTTAGTAGGCTCTTAGATCATTAGCCTTAAGGACAGTGCATATATGGAATGACTCTTGTGCTGAAAAGCCGTGTTTTAACGGATGCCATACGAATACATGATGATGATGATGATGATGAAAAATAGGTCACAGGTTAAAGGTCACTTGGGTCAGGGTCATGAAACTTTCAGAGTAGCTGTAAAATTGATCAGCTCAAGGGTACTGTAGGCTTCGTCGCCATCCGCCGGCTTTTGCGCGAGTTATTCGCGAAAAAAACATGGGGGGTCCATCCGAACCCCCCCCCCCTACACATGCTTTAATTAAGATGACTTTTTAACTTCAGATTTTAGTAAAAGTGACCATCCCACCTTAACATTAGTTTTGAGTTGAGATAGCCAAAATGGGGTCCCTGGCTTGCACTTACCGGTTTGAGCACTCACAAGATCGAGTAATGCCTCAAATCGAAAATATCTAATTTCAAAGCTGCAGCACTGGATTCAGAGGGGCTAATGCATTAGAATGCCCCTCTGAATGTGTGACGTCAGCGCAGATCTAACGATTTTAAATCTTTTGCTTAGACGTTTGGTAGCACGCGGTGGTATATGCTGCTTTGCGCGCAACAAGTGCCGCACTTTCAAATAAAGTTGCTAGGAACAGCGGAGCTCCCAAAAAGTAAACAAAAGTAAAACTCTAATATATTGAAAACCGGTGAATATTTTTCGATAAAATTTGGTAGATATTCGTTAATCGTTTTCGCTCTTTCTGAACCGAGCGACATCACTTTCATGCCAATTCATTAACTTTTTTGAAGGTGGGAGGCAGTGGCGCGGGAACGTCTTCCAGGCTGGGGGGGGGCTGAACCATAATCGTGATCAGCCTAGGGTTACAGGGTACCCCCAAATCTAGTTTTCTCACCGGTTTTAGGCCACCTATTTTTCCAAACTTGGCATTTTCAACAAAAAAAAAAGAGAAAATATTTGCAAAAAAGTCAGGTATTCCGTCTCAGCTGAGTGAAGGAACTACCGTTTTGGCAGCCTGGAATAAAGGTTTTAATCTGCCAAAGCCTAAATGAGTTGCCGAGCCAGTGAAGGAGGTGGATTTTTCACTTGCATGCTTTCTTCCTTTGTGACCCACAACCCCTAATTTGGGGAGGACAAGCTGCCCCAACGGTTCCTGACCTCATGAAAAGTTGTGGGGCACCGCCCCCACGGCCCCAGAGCTGTGGGGGCAAGCTTCCCCCACTGCCCCCTCCCCCGGTTCCCGAGCCTGTGTATGAATCTATGAAATTATGTTGGTAGATTTCCTATTTCGATTCCTCCAGCTGGGGGGGGGGCTCAAATACATTACGAGCCCCCCCCCCCCAGCCGAAAAGTTGGAGGGGCTCAGCCCCCGCTTGCCTCCCCCCCCCCTCCGGTTCCCGCGCCACTGGTGGGAGGGTCCCTTTAATTCAACGCTTCTCGACAGCAGCAACACGGTGCTGGAAATATCAGCGTCATGCAAGTTTTGAGTGAAATGTTATCCAGTGGCGGATCCAAGGGGGGGGGTCACATGGGTCATGGCCCCCCCCCTTGAGGCCGAGGGCCCAAAGACCTGCCAGGGGCACCACCGGCCTATCAGGGGTATCACAGTCCTGACAGGGGCACCACAGGACCGCCAGGGGCACCACCGGCCTAGCAGGGACACCACGGGCCTGGTGCCCCTGGGCCCTGACAGGACTGTAACGCCCCTGACAAGCCTGAAGTGTCCCCGGCAGGCACGTGGTGCCCCTGACAGGCCTGAGGCGCCCCTGCAAGGCCGGTGGTGCCCCTGGCAGGCCCGTGGTGTCCATGGCAGGCCTGTGGTGCCCTTGCTAGGCCTCTGGTGCCCCTGACAGGCTTGTAATGCCCCTGGAAGAACTGTGGTGCCCCTGGGCCCTGACAAGCCTGAGGTGCCCCTGACAGGCCAGTGGTGCCCTTGCTAGGCCTGTGGTGCCCCTGGCAGGCCTCTGGTGCCCCTGACAGGCTTGCGGTGCCCTTGGAAGGACTGTGGTGTCCCTGGGCCCTGACAAGCCTGAGGTGCCCCTGACAGGCCCGTGGTGCCCTTGTTAGGCCTGTGGTGCCCCTGGCAGGCCTCTGGTGCCCTTGCTAGGCCGCTGGTGCCCCTGGCAGGCCTCTGGTGCCCTTGCTAGGCCGCTGGTACCCCTGCGCCCGGAGAGGACTGATGCCCCTGAAAAGTCTGAAGTGCCCCTCGGCAGGCCCGTAGTGCCCCTGACAGGCCCAAGGTGCCTCTGCGAGGCCGGTGGTGCCCCTGGCAGACCTCTGGTGCCCCTGGCAGGTCTGTGGTGCCCCTGGCAGGTCTGTGGCGCCCCTGGTAGACCTGTGTTGACTGGTGCCCCTGCTAGGTCGCTGGTGCCCCTCACAGACCTGTGGTGCCCCTGGGCCTTGACAAGCCTGAGATGCCTGGCTATGACAGGCTCGTGGTGTCCCTGATAGACCAGTGGTGCCCTTGCTAGGCCTGTAGTGCCCCTGGCAGGCCTCTGGTGCCCCTGCTACCCCTGCGCCCCGAGAGGACTATGGTGCCCCTGAAAAGCCTGAAGTGCCTCTCGACAGGCCCGTGGTGCCCCTGGGCCCTGACAGGCCCAAGTTACCCCTGCGAGGTCGGTGGTGCTCCTGGCAGGCCTCTGGTGCCCCTGGCAGGTCTGTGGTGCCCCTGGCAGGCCTGTGTTGACTGGTGCCCCTGCTAGGCCGCTGGTGCCCCTCACAGGCCTGCGGTGCTCCTGGAAGGACTGTGGTGCCCCTGCCCCTAGGGGTGCTCATGGGCCCAACAGGCCCGTTGTGCCCCTGACAGGCCTGTCGTGTATACTTGCTAGACCTGTGGTGCCCCTGCTTCCTGGCAGACCTGTGGTGCCCCTGGCGGGCCTGTGGCGCCCCTACAAGGCCGTAGGTGCCCCTGACAGGTTTGTGGTGTCCCTGGAAGGACTTTGGTGCCCCTGACAAGCCTGAAGTGTCAAGGACAGGCCCTTTAGACGCCAGGGTCAAGTTCGTCGGACTGACAACGATTTGCTTACCTGATAACGTTCCTGGTAAGTACTCACTACTCAGCGTCCACAACATATATACGCATAGCACATTCATATACCTTATACTTGGTATACTTGCTTACAATTGGTAAATGTGGCTGTGGCTAAGAGTTAAGATACTGACTAAAAATAAAAAAAAAATAAAAAAAAACTGAAAATGGGGGCACCACCAAAATGAAGTGGACGAAATCCGTTGAGTTTTTAATTTTGGGTATAGGTAGGGGCACCACTTCGATTCATGACCCTCCCCTTGGAGTTTTCCTGGATCCGCCCCTGATGTTATCACTGAAAAAAAATCAATAGCATCGTAAATTTTACGTTTTTCCCTTTCGAGACTACGTTGTTTACCTTACATTGTAAAAAGATCATTCAGAAACAGCCTCAAAAGAGTTATTAAATGCGCTTTTCAGCGGTGCATTGCCGCAGTACCTACATCCGTTCCCAAGTTATGCACCGGTTTGTCAAACAATGTTGAAATAGGTGAAACTTGATATTTGATGTCCTCGGGTGACCTGACTTTTAAAAGCATTATGATTTTTAAGCATTATGAATTATGATGCTGTACTCGTTTTTCGGTCTGCTGAAGGTGCGGGGGTAGATCAAGCTGCCGAACCACCGCATTGCACGAGCGTACCCGACAATGTGCCTGGTCCAAGACCACAAGGACCTAAAGCTGCTCCGGAAGTAGAGGTGGATGGTTCATCTCTGAACCCAGACAACTGGACATCAAACAGCAAAGGGCAGGAGAAGCACGGGCATCCACCTCCTGGGATGTCAGCCGCTTTCTTGAACAGTGTTCCGCGTCTCAGCTTGCCGCGGTTCACGGGAGATCCAAGTGAGTGGCCGCGCTGGATCAGTCTCTTCAGAGCACTGGTTCACGATCAGGCGGCTCTCTCTGACACGGAGCGGATGGCGCATCTACAACAAGCAGTTGATGGAGTCGCCCATCAAGCCATCGAGGGATTCTTGTTCGATGGCAAGATGTATCACCAGGCGTTGGCAAGGCTGCACGAGCGTTTTGGTCGAGAAGGTGACATCAGCCAAGCATATCTCAGCTCCATGTTCACGACACCAGCTTCTTCAATCAACAACATCGCCTCAGTGGAGAGGTTCAGTTCAGCTGTCAGCAACACTGTGCTGACTCTGCGCGCTCTGAACCACTACAATGATCTGAGAGCCATCGAGAACCTGCGTCGAGTAGTATTGAAGCTTCCTGCGGAGTTGTCCTACCAGTGGGGACGAGAAGTGCATCAGATGCATCCCAAGCAGCCCGATCTGGAGATCTTCAGCAAGTGGCTGGAGACAGAGACTGCCATCTTGAGAAACTCGGCCAACCACAACCGCGAGCCAGAGAGAAAAAGGCCATCCGCGGGTGTACGGGAGACCTCGGCGCGACGAACAACTCTGACTACGTCGGCTACGTCTTCCCAGACGGAAAACAACCGACGTCGCTGGTTCTGTGTCCTGTGCAAGGAACAGCACAAGCTTCAGGATTGCACGGAGTTCAAGTCGAAGACGGTGGAGGAGAGGCTGGTCGTAGTGAGCAAGGAACGACTGTGTTGGGGCTGCCTGAACAAGGGTCACTTCATGAGGGATTGCCGCTCTGCAAGACGATGCAACTTGAATGGATGTAATGCATCTCATCACCGAGTCATACATGTGGACAGAAACGCTGCTGGTGATGAAGAAAACCAAACAGAACCAAAAACAGAGGCACGAGGAGGAAGTCGCATCGTCGGCACGGCTCTCACAGAGACGACAGACACACTGCTGCAGTTGGTGCCGGTGCGGATTCACGGCCCAAATGGGGAGAGAGACGTAGTAGCATTGCTGGACCCGGGGGCGCAGACATCGCTCTGCTGTGAAGATGTCTTGGAAGAGATTGGGGTTCCAGGAGTCCGAGAGAATCTGCAGCTACAGAACATCGAAGGAAGTGGTACCAGACAGTCGTCTCTTCGAGTTCAGCTGACGGTCAGTCCTCTGAGCACAGCGACCAGCAGAAATCGAATCTTCGTGCCCGAGGTGTGGTCTGTGCCAAGGTTGAACGTGGCCCCACCCAGCATGAGTAGTAAGCAGCTTCGCAGCTGGAAGCACTTGCAGGACCTGGACCTACAGCAGTACAACGGCGCACACGTCGAGCTTCTACTTGGTGCCAACATTCTGGAAGCTGTGCTGCAGCGAGAGGTCAAGGTGGGAGGCCCCGGAATGCCCGTCGCTATCCGGACAGACTTTGGCTGGACCCTGACGGGATCGATATCCACCCTGATTCCAAGCACAATGCGGCAAGTCATGTTCGTGCGTCGACGTGCTCCCGGAGACGCTCTGGAGGGTCTGCAAGAGTTGGTCCAAGACTGGTGGACGAACGAGGCCTTCGGCACCATGATCAACAGCTCTGATGCACGATCTCAAGAAGATCTCAGAGCTATGCGAATCTTGGATCAGCAGACCAGGAAGGTGGGGGACAGATATGAAGCTGGACTTCTGTGGGGTGAAGACGAACCGATGTTGCCGGACAACTGGAACCAAGCGTACCGACGTCTTCATTCCATCGAGAGGAAACTCGACAAGCAGCCAGAACTGGCTACAAGGTACCAAGCCATCATCGACGGATATGTGAAGGATGGTCACGCAAGGAAGCTCTCAGCAGAAGAAGCGGACGAACCGAAGGAGAAGCGTTGGTATCTGCCACACCACGCAGTAGTGAACCCGAACAAGCCAGGGAAGCTGAGAATCGTCTTCGACGCTGCGGCAACATACCAAGGTGTATCACTGAACTCGAAGCTCGTCACAGGTCCAGATCTACTACAAAGCCTTCCTGGGGTGATCATGCGCTTCAGGGAAGGTCTGATCGCTGTGACAGCGGACATCAAGCAGATGTATCATCAGGTGAGGATCCGGACAGAAGACCAGCCTGCATCGAGCTTTCTATGGCGAGAGATGGAGCGACACCGCAAGCCTGACGTCTATCAGATGGAGGTGGTCATCTTTGGCGCGAAGTCATCACCGGCAACGGCCAACTACGTGCTGAGAAAGGCACTTCTGAACTATGGAGCGGAGACAGACAAGGTTCTCAGCAGAAGTCCCGAGCAACTGGCAAAGTCGTTCTACATGGACGATTGCCTGTTCTCTTGCATGACGGAAGACGCCGCCAAACAGCTGTACGCTGACGTGAAGGAGGCACTGGAGAGAGGAGGTTTTCACCTCACGAAGTGGAGAAGCAGTTCCCCCGCTGTGATGAAAGGCGTTCCAGAGAGTGAGAGAGCCAGCGCCTTTGCGAGCCTATGTCTCAGGAGCTCGCACACCGCTGAAAAGACGCTGGGCATCGCATGGGAGGAAGACGAGGACACATTGGGGTTTCGTCTCCAAGCCAAAGAAGTGAGTGCAACCAAGCGTGGTGTGCTCAGCAAAGTGTCAACAATCTTTGACCCTCTGGGGATTGCTGCTCCTGTTACCGTGAGAGCAAAGATGATGATGCAGCGACTCTGGTGGAAACATCTGGAGTGGGACGAGCCACTACCCGAACCTGAGCTGAGCCAATGGTTGGAGTGGCTGAGTGAAGCAGAGAAGCTGAACGAAGTCGTGATGCAACGCTGCGTGAACCCCAGCGGCCCAGAGACACTGCGACGCCAACTTCATGTGTTCTGCGATGCGTCAGAGAGTGCGTTCGGCGCTGTGGCATACTGGAGGACAACTTCGAGCGATGGATTACACCATTGTCGCTTCCTGATCGGCAAATGCCGAGTCGTTCCACTGAAGCGACTATCAATTGTCCGTCTAGAGCTGCAAGCAGCCGTTCTTGGAGCGCGTCTGGTGGCTACCGTCCTCGGTGAGATCACTCAGCCGCCGGATGACGTCTTCTGCTGGACGGACAGCAAGGTCATCCAGCAGTACCTTGATAATGAAACTCGACGGTTCAAGACCTTCGTGGCCAACAGACTTGCAGAGATTTACGAGCGGACCTGCAACGCGTGCTGGCGTCGGAGTCAAATGACGCCCAGGTCAACTCGCCAACGAGAGGCCGAACCATCGACCCTTCCGTCTGCTCCCAGTGGCCTCGCCATCGAGGGGCTGGGAGAGACAAAACACATCGGCATCTCCGCAACCGTGAGATAAACCAGCGGGGTTTACACGATCCTGACACATCGCTATCAAGCACTAGAGGACCAAGGGTCCTCTGAGTCTGGAGGCTCTCCAGCGTCTCTCCATCTCCAACGTGGGAGGCATTAGCCTCCGCGAGCGCTGCAGCGGCCTCGGCGCAGGCGGCGGTGGCCTCCTCGGCCGCCTCAGCACCGGTGGCGGCAACCTCCTCGGCTACATCAGCACAGGCGGTAGCTTCCTCGGATGTGGCAGTTTCTGCTTGGGCGGCAGCGATTCGTCTAACAGCGACGACGTCGCCAGTCGCCGTGGTGCGTCGGTGGGGATATACCACTGATCCCCATCATTAATCGTTGCTTAACGAAGTTGAAGTGTTCTTTATTTCTTCTGTTTCATGTTATACTTGCTGGTGTTGCAAGAAATAGAATCGTATTTGCTGGAATGTGAAATGTTTTATATGTGCTAGCGACGCGATATGTACGGCACGGCAGCGCGCCGGTTTCTTTCTGTAAGTGTTGCTCTGCAGTGCAACACGGTGCAGGGGGATGTTAGCACCGGCGGCTGCAGGCCGGGCCTCCCGGACCTCCGAGCGGGCCATGTGGCGGCCGGCCGACCACGTGGCGCCTGGGGCTATGCCGGCACTGAGCTGGCCCCATAGCAGGCAGCCCGGTGATTGGCTGCTTGGGCTCTGGCCCTCGGGCGCCGGCGAGGTGACCTCGGGTCAGCGCGCGGTTATTGAGGGAGTTCGTTCTGGATGCTCGGCGGGGAAGTGCTCGCTGTGTGGGTGGAAGTGTTGCTCTGGCTGTGGTGTGGTGGTGGTGCACAATATAGCAAGTGAAATATCTTAACTGGTGTGGAGAGGAGCTGGACCAGTGGAAAAAGGGACGGGACAGTGAACAGCAGCGAGTCTTCTCAGCGTGCGAGTAGCCGATCATTTCCTTTCATCCGGGACTCATAACACGGCCTCTTCCGGGGTGTGTGAGGGAGGCGGCCACAGTGTCTCGCCATCGAGTCACTGAGCTTAAACTCGTTCCCCGGGTCTTGCCATCGAGGCTCGGGTGCGGGGTCTCCGCTCAGACAGGGGTGCGACCAGTCGGCTCCGGCTAACCTTGCCATCGAGGCGCCGGAGTATCGGTTGATCTGTCCGATTACAGTGGTCTCGCCATCGAGAGGCTGGAATCGGGCAGCGGCTGGCGTCTTCCTCACCATCCTGATCTACCCATCGCTCTCCTACAGTCCTTGTCTATCATCCGGCTAAATAAGTGTCGTTGGCGTGTGAAATACCAGAGGACACGTGGCGACAGGTAGATTTCCGATTTCGATTCCTCCAGCTGGGGGGGGGGGGGGCTCAAATACATTACGAGCCCCCCCCAGCCGAAAAGTTGGAGGGGCTCAGCCCCCGCTTGCCTCCCCCCCTCCGGTTCCCGCGCCACTGGTGGGAGGGTCCCTTTAATTCAACGCTTCTCGACAGCAGCAACACGGTGCTGGAAATATCAACGTCATGCAAGTTTTGAGTGAAATGTTATCACTGAAAAAAAATCAATAGCATCGTAAATTTTACGTTTTTCCCTCTCGAGACTACGTTGTTTACCTTACATTGTAAAAAGATCATTCAGAAACAGCCTCAAAAGAGTTATTAAATGCGCTTTTCAGCGGTGCATTGCCGCAGTACCTACATCCGTTCCCAAGTTATGCACCGGTTTGTCAAACAATGTTGAAATAGGTGAAACTTGATATTTGATGTCCTCGGGTGACCTGACTTTTAAAAGCATTATGATTTTTAAGCATTATGAATTATGATGCTGTACTCGTTTTTCGGCATGAATGTGCTTTCGGAGCTAACGTGTGTGGAAAGCCAAAGTTGACGTATAGCCAAAGTCCATCATTTGACCGTCCACGCGTCTGAACGTCTAAAACACGGTGGTGACAAAAGCGCCGATTTTGGACTATCTTTGTCAAGGTTAGTTTACGAAAATAACGCATCCCTACCTTGGGTTCTTTGAACTGACCTCAGAGGTCACCAACTGGACTGAGACCTCACAAGTGGGTGACAATCGCTGCACCTTGCTTTTCGAAGACATCTAGCCCATAAGGAAAGGAGTGGCGGCCCGGGAGAGGTCGCTCCGCTTGGATTCACACACACGCACGCACGCACGCACGCACGCACGCACGCACGCACGCACGCACGCACACAATTGGCGCAAAAGTGCCTAAAAACTTGAATCGTGGCGCTTTTTGCTTAATCAGGTAAATATTTACATATTTATCTATTTGTTTGCTTCTTTATTTTGACTGTGTTGAACGCCGCTCATAGTGTGAGTTGATTTACCTGCTCGATAATAAAGATGGATCAGTAGCCGGCAGCAGCAGCGCCAGAGGTTTCCTGAACTACATACAAAAGTATAAACGTTGTTTTCCTTTCTTTGGGGTGCATAGGCGACGGAACGGGGAGGGCACCGGGGCACCGTGCCCCCCTTTGATTTTAGCATTTTAACATGGCCAAGCCGGGGCGGCGTCCTGTCATGGACTGAAGAACCACCCCGGCCCCGGGAAGATCTGGGGGATACCTCCCCAGCCAGGGAGAGCTGTGGGTTACCTCTCCAGCGCTCCAGGCGGGAGGCCCGTCAGCCACCGCCCGCGTCGCCCGTCGAAATAGGCATCGCGGGCGGCGCCCCCCTATCCACCGGCCGTGCGGGCGAGCCGTCGACTGGTAGGGCCGGCGCCCCGCACGCCCGGCCGGCCGACCGGCCCCAGCAAAGAGGACGATCATGATATGGTAGAAAACAGAGAACCGTCCGGCGAGGGCGGTCTATCCTCGGCGACCGAATGACCTGCTCAGTGCTCATAATATCTTTCACCGACCCCAACGGCACCAGAGTGAGCGCCACCCGGCCTCAAACTGCTCCATCGGACAGTGTATTTAAACCGAGGAAGAGGCGAGGTAAGTGGCACAACCTCTCTGTAGCCGTGAGAAGTACGGCCGATCACACCGTCCGGTGCTGATGGTATTCATACCATCAAGTCTTGGAGAGTTTAAGAAAACGCCGTCTACATCCTCCAAAGGGCGCCGTTTTGCTGTCGTCTGCCGTCCACCTTGTCTGTGAAGCGCCCTGCGGAAAACCGATCGCTTCGCGAGTGGCTCCCACCGTCGACTGGTAGTCCCGCTTCTGCCGCTGCACCACTGCAGCGCAGTCAGCGCATCGCCCTCCGACTGGAGCGGCTCAATCAGCGTACGGCAGCTGCAGACCGCCCGAGCTGCCGTAACAAAGACGACATGAAGCTGGCCCATTGTGCTGTGGCATCCCTGATGCTCATTGGATCTACGCTAGGAAGCGCTGGCGCCCTGCCACCTGATAAAAGTGACGGCAATGACGCCGGCGTCGAGCGTCAGTTGACGACCGGGGCTCCGTTTGAGCAGCTGCTGTTAGCAGGGGGTTTGGTCACTGTGGGAGCGGCTGGTATCCTGGCATCACTGGTCATGGCTCAGAACAATCCAGAGCCATCCGTGCCTCAAGTCATCAGCAGCGAGAGTACAAATGTAACGCAAGCGCCGCCAATGTGTCTAACACTTCCTGTCGCAACTACAACAACTACTTCTTCTGCTACTACTACTACTACTTCTGCTACTTCTACTACTACTACTACTACTACTACTACTACTACTACTTCTACTACTACTACGACTACTGCTGCTGCTGCTACTACTGTTACTACTGTTGCTAGTACTACTGGCTCTAGTACCAACAATGCTCGACCACAGTGTACTGTAGTTTGTTTTCCTACATAACGGGGTATGCCTTAAGTACAGCACGAGCCGGGCAGTAAAACGATTGAACAGAATGGTCATATATAATATCACACGGGGCCGGTAAAATGTTTCATTCAGGACCGAGGGATTTGTTGAGTTTTCCGCACGAGACCGAAGGTCGAGGGCGGAAAATTCAACAAAGCCCGAGGTCCTGAATGAAACATTCCGGCCCAAGTGTGATATTTATTTTAGCATGTGCCGTTTAATTTCCATATTTAAGCTTCTTTAACAATGGTACATGCTTGAAAGAAGTGAAAAACCAAGAACGAATATCAAGAACTAAAAAATGTACATATTCCCTGACCAAGATAATAAATCAAGCCGACTCAAGATCACTGTGTCCCATCCTTGTGTCTGGCTCTGAGTTGGATTCATATCAAACCAAGAAGATCTATTTCAATCTATGTCATATGAGAAGCTAGAGTAACGTTCGTTTTCAATATTAGAGAAGAGTGGAAAGTATACCATCCTGTGAAGTGAGCGCTTGGTTTTTTACCCATGTCAGTATGAATAAAGTTTTTACTGATCAATGTGAAATGCGTTTTTTGTCAATTCATTGCAGTTGTTCAAGGCATGAAATTGACGCCATAAATGTAGGTGATTAATTAATATGTCTGTACATTAGGATTTAAAATATTATCTTATTGAAAACCAACATTTACAATCTGTTCAATAGTTCAAAGCGACCAAATGCAACACGTAAGTTCACGTTAGATTTCTATCAGTTAAGCTCTTTTCCAGCGCCTTCCTCCGTCTCAGGAAATGCTTCAAAAGTTCGCTGATAAAATGTTTTGCCCATGGGCCGAAACCTTTGTCCAATTGCCTTCAACATCATGCGGTTTAATCCAAAAAGCTTTTACCGCACGCTCGCGCTAATGCTAAAGGCATACTTCGGCATATGCTAAAAAAGTAAAATCAAGAGTTCGTCCCAACAAAAATAGCAAAATAAGTGGCAAAATACGTTTTTTTGTTTGGAACGAACAAAAGAGTCAGATGACGGGGAAGGAAAGGACTCCCCGTACAAAGCTTCATGATGGACGCCCCCAAGGGAAGGGATCCATGGTTAGCAGGGGTGCGTAGCCGGAGCTGGAGCCAGAGCCGCCGGAGCCGGCATATTTTGCCCGGAGACGGAGCCAGAGTCGGAGCCGTGAAACAATATAGCCCGGAGCCGGAGCCGGAGCCGTCAAAAAAAGGGGGCGACTCCGGCTCTTTTTTTAAGTGGAAAAAAAATTATTGACCCAGTTCGGTTTGACAGTTCAAGGTAGTAAAACATGCGGTATTCAAAATATGAAAATAGCCTTGTTATGCAAATACAGAAGCAACGTGCACCAATCCCATCGTCTTTTTCTTCCACCCGTATTTAATTGCATAGGGGATGTACTGAGCATTGGAGCCGGAGCCGCCGGAGCCGGACCATTTTACTCGGAGCCGGAGCCGGAACCTGAGCCGCCATGGCATTTCACCCGGAGCCGGAGTCAGAGCCGGAGCCGTCTGAAATTTCCACGGCTCTGCATCCCTGATGGTTAGAACTATATATAGAGGAGGTCTCTTCTTAGCGTGATTATAGGGGACTGAAAAAGAGGGGTACCTACGGCTAACCTGAATAAGGCTGACGAGAAGGCACTCCTTTCCCTGATGAAGGACGACTCCACACACAGAAAAATATTTACCCCTCTATGGGATTTTTTTACATATGAGGAGTACCAGTACCCTTATTTCTCAGGTATGAAAACCTGAATGGGAATAGTTACACACCATTTATTTGGGGTTCCCGTACACCAATGGTTCTTTTTACACATATACTAGTAAATGTACCTTCAAGGTTCACAGTACCCTGCAAATTCGGGGTATCATTAACAAACAGAGTGGTATCTTTACCCGAAAAATCAGAATCGGTCGTGATAGAGCTACTCTGGCAGCATGTTATTTTACTAGTTGTCATTGAAAAAGAGGTACCTGTAACATGCATCAACTCGTTGGGTATAGAAGTACCTAAAATGCGTTTTTCTGACTCCTGATTTTTAGGTACACTGAGAAAACAAAAAACACCCTTAAGACACTCCCGGCCAAAGTGTCCGCCCTGAAACCCCTGTAGAACACCTTTCTCGAACACCTTTAATGGTGTCAGGCTGTTGTACACCCCATGGGTGTTTATCAAGTGTCGATTACACCTTATTGGTGTTGTTCGGGTGTTTTGGTCAATAGACACTTCGACAAGTACCCACGAATCCTGTCTTAAATCCCTCTAGAATTCCCGTGGGGTGTTCAGTGGGTGTCAACACCCCATACACCCCACAGGTATTAATGGGGTATTTTCGGCCAAACTGTCCGCTATGAAATTCCCGTTGGGTGTTTAATGGGTGTCAACACCCCATACACCCCACAGGTATTACTGAGGTATTTCCGGCCAAACTGTCCGCTATGAAATTCCCGTTGGGTGTTTAATGGGTGTCAACACCCCATACACCCAACAGGTGTTACTGGGGTATTTCCGGCCAAACTGTCCGCTCAGAAATCCCCGTTGGGTGTTCAGTGGGTGTCAACAGTACCTTTATTGTTGACACCCACTGAACACCCAACGGGGATTGCAGAGCGGACAGTTTGGCCGAAAATGCCCTTTAGTAACACCTGTGGAGTGTAAGAGTGCTGACATCAATTCACCCAACGGGCATTGCAGAGCGGAACGGGCATTGCATAGCATTTCAATAAGGGCATTTCAGACAGTTTGGTCGGAAATACCCTTAACGTAACACCTGTGGAGGACAAGGGTGTCCCGAACACGCATCAGGTTTGCGACGTTTTTTGATCAATGGCTCATTGAAAACACTCCGTTTAAATTATACTTTAGAAGTTTCCTTATGGATCGCATATGTTAGCGTAGCCCGTCACACAGCTAAGCGTTTCGGCTAAATGATCACTGCATTTCCGGCGTTATCTTTCTAGTTGAGGTTTATTTGCCATTGGGTCCACAGTGCAGGGATATTTCTATCTCGCACTCCTCTGAGATGCAAAGATAAGAATTTGTTATCTCTGCATCTCTCTGAGATGCAAAGATAAGGTCTCGAGGTTTCATAGCCAAAAATCAAGAGTTCAACTGATGATGGGTCAATAACCGAACGGCATTTTTAATGGCTGTTTATGTATGAAACTTATGAAATAAAAACAAGCTACTCTTACTTTTTTTACATAGATGAATACATTTAAATATAATATTGAATTAATTAAGAATAAACCTCAACATAGAAAGATATAGGATTCCTCATGGCTCACTCGTGGAAGATCGGATATCTTTTCCTCGCGTGTTACAGAAAAACCTCGCTCCTTCGTCGCTCGGTTTTTCAGTAACCCGCTTGGAAAAGATATCCTTATCTTTCTAGTTGATGTTTATTTGCCATTGGGTCTACAGTGCAGGGATATTTCTATCTCGCACTCCTCTGAGATGCAAAGATAAAATTCGTTATATCTGCATCCCTCTGAGATGCAAAGATAAGGTCTCGAGGGTTCATAGCGAAAAAATCAAGAGTTCATGTGATGATGGGTCAATAACCGAACGACATTTTTAGTGGTTGTTTGTGGATGAAACTTATGAAATAAGAACAAGCTACTCTGAATCTATTTTTACATAGATGAATGCATTTAAATATAATATTTTATTAATTAAGAATAAACCTCAACATAGAAAGATATAGGATTCCTCATGGCTCACTCGTGGAAGATCGGATATCTTTTCCTCGCGGAGCCATGAAGAATCCTCTATATCTTCTCAGAGGGTTGATGGATCAGAACGACGATTCGATCGGTTTGAATGACATTTGGCGATAACACGCAAATCCGTTAGGAATATATCGAAGAAAAAAAAAATCACGAAAGGGGTGCTTGAAATTGTACTGGAACATATCCACCGGTAACGCACTTAGCTTGATGGTAACTTGTCGTTTATGGGAAGCGGTCCAAGCTGCCCAAAAAAAGAATGCTCCGCGTTTGATAACGTATATTTAAGAACAAACAATCTTGAGTAAGAACGGTGGTCATTATGAACACAAAGCATTCTCTAGGCTCTATCCAACCACCTCTCCACTTTCCTCCGACTGCACATCAGTACTTTATCTCTTCAGCTATTTAACCCTCGCCCGGCCAAGGGGTTGATGCAACACCCTAAGAAAAATGGCAGTGCTATACGTCACCAGGTTTGGCATACTTTATGGAACATCCTTTTGGCATATTCCCTGAAAATTAAAGTTCCAATTCAATAATTTCAGGTCAGGTCACCAGGTCGCAAAAAAAAAACGTTATATTGTCAAAATAGCCATGAAACTACACTATATATTTTCTATGAAGCCTGAGTTTTCCATTGATTTCATTCAAAGTTGCAGGGTATGCTAAGCTCACCGAGTACCATAACATGTATCCTCGTTTTTGAAATTGTCTTAACCTGAGATCATCCAAATTCTAGAGCCAGGTCATGACGAGTTATTAAGGAAATTTTATGAATTATTTGAATTGTAAAAATATTAGAGAAATCCGTTCCATTTAAACGTTTTTGTGTTGTTTTACCTCAGTTTATACATTGCATGACGTGTTTGTTTGCTGCAAGAACGCTAGATAGGGTCAATTGAGGTCAAATGGGGTCAAACTACGTTTTTGCTAATAACTTGATAGACGGTGTACCCAGAGCTTGAAAATGGTGCCATTGTGTTTCTTTCGAACAGCCGCCTCGAAAGATATGTTATACTGACGCATTTTAGTAAGCCTGTGAACTTATGAACTTACTCGTATATATTGACTTTATGAACTTATATATTTTGGGTGAACTTTAAAAGGCCACTCAACTGGTGTAATAGTAAATCACTCTATGTGCATTGACGTGCTGAGTTCACTGGTGCTTTTATTTTTGCTCTAGCTTTACTAGATTCAA